ACTGTGGTGGAAATAGATATGAGAGAGGAGGAAGAAGGAAAAGGGAAAGAGAGAGAGAGATGGTGATTATATGTAAAGCTAAATTTAGATGATTCAGTCATGTCCATGGAATACCACCTATAGTAGTACTATAAGAAAAAAAGTGATCAATTATAGGTTGAGAAGGGCTGGGGGTAGATCAAATAGAAATAGATAAAAGTAATAAGAAATGATTTTTAAGTGTTCATAATTTGGCATTAAACAGAATTGAATGATGAAACACTATTCATGTAGTCGATCCCATGCCATATAGATTATGTACAAGTTGAAAAGTGAATATTTTTTAATTTTTAATTCAAAGATAATAAAATTAACTCATTGAACCCTAACCCGATCAGATATAGATTGGATTAGGATGCCATCCGGCCCTGTTATGCCCTATGTAGGATCAACATGTTTGGATCTCTTAAAAACAAAAATTGTGACACCCTTCATACGTTGGGAGTATCTCCTATAATTGTATGTTAAATTCATCTAGAGATGTTTTAGCTTCAAAAAGAAACAGATAGTATCAATGTTTTGTCAACGAAATGGTTTCTTTGATGATGGATAATGGGTAGGGGTGGCCATGAGCCGAGCTTCTCATGAGCTATTTGAGCTCGGCTCGTGAAAAGCTCGACAGAGCTGAGCCTAGCTTGATATATAGGCTCATTTGCTAATCGAGGTGAGCTCGAGCTCAGTGAACTTCGGCTCGTGAGGCTTGCGAGTCTAGTACAATAAATAAATATTTTTTTATTATATACATGCATACATATACATATACATATACATATATATAATAAATAATTTTTATTTTATATATAATATTTTTATTTTTATGTATAATAGTAAATAATTTTTATAATTCTTAATTTTTTATATGTAAAATAAAAAAAATGTTTTTATATGTATATTTTTGTTTTTAGAAGAAACTTGGTTTGCAATCGAACTCAAACTTGAGAACTTTAAATTGATTTGAGCTCAACGAACTGAACTTGAATAGCCAAGTATTCGGTTTGGCTCAACTCCCGTGAATCAAATAGATTGCCCAGTATTCCACTAAACCAAATTCTTGAGTTCGTATAGATATATTAAGAATATATTACTCTGAAACATTAAGAAATTGGATTGGATGATCAGTCAAGTCTGTTGAATTACGGAGTCCCCAAAAAATTAAAATTAAAAACCTGTTGAATTGCCGAGTCCAATGACTGGTTAAAAAACTAGTTGACTTGCTTTCGAGTCTCTCGAGTTGACTCAGTTTAACCATAGTCACAATCAGGCTAAGCTTAATTATTAGGCTACGCAACCCCAAACTAAGCTTATATCCAAAGCAGCGTAGCTTCTCACTTGTCTTTTATTCAGAGGGTGGTCCGTGTGGAGCCATCGTGGAGATTAGTTTCGGCCAGAAATCAACTTTATAGGGGACAAATGTCAGCACTTTTTTTTTATTTGTTTCACTATGGACAATAACAAGGTATATAAGGAAAATACTTTCATAAAGCATTAAACATGATATCAAGGTTCAAAAATATTGGCTATCAAAAAAGGCTTTTGAAATGGCAATTCTATTTGGGAAATGATGAGAAACTTCCGGTAAGTCTTACAAATGCATTCATAACACTAATTTTGTAGTTGAATTAACCATGAAAATGGTTTAAATATGTACTTTTAACATTTTGCATGGTCATATATTGCTACCAACATATTGCTTATGAATCAATTGTAGTTTACAATTGTATTAAAATGGAAAATATGCATCTGCAAACTATAACGAAAATACACGAGTGGTGAATCAATTGCAAATAATATATTGTAAATTTTTATTTTATATATAACAGCTTAGAATATATTAATAAGCTTAATATGCAAGATAGTTCTTTCACATTTTTATAAATATTGATATCAAAATTCTATGTTATAATTAAGGCAAAATCTATCAGGCAAAAATTACACTTTGAAGCAACAAAGTGAATCAGTGATAAAAGAGATATCACAGATGGCATTTTTAGCATTGTTGAAGTTTTTAATGTGATTGATTTTTTTTTTTATTATTATTATTGTATAGCTTTTGCACTGTAATTACATTCTTAATTAAATTTTAAAATGCATAAATAATATAAAATTGTATTAAGATCTATATTTATCCTATGTCAATCGTTATTGACCCTATATCCATCTAATATCTGCTGTGAAGAAATTCACTTGTTTCACCTAAAATGCACCCCCAGTGACATCTCCATGTTGACTTTGAGCATTCTCATTTACATCACTAATTCACCATCTGTGAGCTTGGAATTTAATTTTAGAATTTCCCGTGGGTTGTGTTTGGATCATGGTGGAATTGAAATCGGGGACTGAAATGGGTCAGTGGCCATCTAAAAAAGTCCCAACTCTGCTAAGAAGCCAGTAGACTTGATGAGTCCACTCCATCATTTTGAGACTTCTGAATCTTGCAATGGGCGTAGTGATTTGAATTCCATACATTGAAGTGAGACAGAAAAGGAATTCAGTTGCTTTGTTTTTCCTTAACAACATAACAGACAGAAATTAGCTAATAAGGCCGACAAGAAACAAACAGAGAAAGCTTTCAATCTCTACAAAGTCCTCCACGAGACCCTTAGTTGCTACCAGTTACCATGTACCCTTCCTCGTTTCTTTCTATTTCCAACAACCGAGAAGATACATCTCAGCCCTCTAGAAAGAAACAAAATATCTATAGATTTCTTTTAGTTTTGTGTACATCTTTTCATAAAACAAAGAAGCATGCCCTTGAATTTATTTGAACTTATTCTATATACACTTCAAATGTCTTGAAGATTGAAGCTGCATTTGTAAAATGGGACATCGACAGAACAAAATGACAAATGCTTTGACCAAACAAATAATAGAAAAAGAGGAAAGATGACAAATGTTGTGGGAAGTTGTTGGGTTGGAGTCCTTTGTGCTTGTAATAGGAATAAATTAAATATGTATTTTATATTCTGTATAAATAAAAGCACAAGGTTGGTGTGGTGTAATTTATTTGGGATATAAGCAACTTAAGAAATAGAATATTAAATATAATTGGAGCTACATAATGTGAATGGAAAACATCATCATCATTACTATTTCTTATTGAGCACATGAAGAAGAATTTCCCCGGGGGGGGGGGGGGGTATGATATGATACTTAACAGCCAAGGAAACGAAATGACAACATCACCGAAAAAGGAAAAAAAATAGAGGAAGTAAATGAGAGTGAAGATAGGCTCACAAGAAGGAAAGAAGAGGGCATTCTTTTCCTTGTGTTGATAAAGATGGATTTGGATTCTTTGAAGAGTGAAAATAGTTGCCTGACAGTCGATGTCAAACAAATAGAACAGGAAAAGATGGGAGAGAATAGTTCAACTGTTGGATTCAAAGTTTGACAGAATTAATTGCTGTTAAGATTCAGGCACCTGTTTGAAAGAGGGGGAGGGGGCTCCATTCAAAGAGAGGGTCTTGGGAGATCAACACGACTCATCATCATCATCATCATCATCATCATAATATATAAGCCTTCTCCCTACCAAATGGGGTCTGTGCCATATGAATACCGTTCCATCATTTCATTCTGTTCAGTATCATATCCATGGTTAAATTGTGGGACCTTAAATTTTTTCAACTTATATATCCTTTAAATTTTAATCCCTCCAATTGCTTCTCCTTGATGGTATACGCCTAAATAGATTTATTTCTGAGCCCATCTTCTCTGGTTTCTTCACTCCAGATATCTCTGGGTGCCCAATAAGCTTTTACAGAAATAGAAGCTTAAAGCTTGGTTATTGTTGGTTCAGAATAGCTACCACCATGCCTGTCAGTCCAGTCAGTGGTCTGTGACTCTGGTAAGCTTACCAACTCTCTGTCTCACCACCATGTGCTTGCCGCGGACACCATCAAAATGGGCCTACGCCTCTCTCAACTCGGTCTCCTTATATATGTAAAAAAGGAGGAAAGGAAGTTGGTACGCAATGTGTCCTTGTAATAATACCAAACGGCTGCAACGTAGCCCACGCAATTGATGTAGCTCCATATCTATAATCATGGATTTCAACTTTCACTTCAGCCATCTTCCAATTTCAACTCCCCTTGGGCGGTTCTCAACCATGACAATAGTTTTAGATTTGAAACATTCAATCAATTTACTTGCTCAATGGCGTGAGGGCATGAGGCAGAGGCCACCTCTCTCTCTCATCAGTCATCACTTCACCTAACCCCTTACTATAATCATATATCCACCACCTAAAACACCCAGTTTGTCACCGGATCTCTCTGCCCCTTCGTCTAATATTTGACTCCGGATCTCCTGTTCACAAGAATTCTGTTCAAGTCTATTCACATAACATCTCAACCACACATGGAGAATATTTTATTCTCTTATATAGTATTATGCATGGGAAGATGTTCCCTACATAGAGGTAGTGTGTTGTAGGTGGACGTGGACAGAATTCTTGTGGGCAGGAGATCCAGAGTCGTAATATTTTGCCAAGTTCTGAAACAATTGCTTTCAATGAAATGCCAAAAGAAATGCTTCATTTAATTGGCCAAAATTTTGAAATATTTTTTTACAATAAATTTCTAAATATGTCAAAACTAATAAAATTTTGAGCGACATATTTTGCTTGTAATGGTTGAGGTATAAAAATAACTTATCCTTATTATTTGATTTTTTGTGTTTGAAAAAAAAAATTGATTTAATTTCATCTTGGTTTTTGGATTTTAAAAAACCCTTGCCATGACCTGTCAATGAATTGGGTCTTGACCAGTTAGGAGTAGAGAGACATGCACCAACCTGTTAAGGAAAGAGGGAGCCCTGATCCCAACCCACACTCTATAACAGGCCCACGATTAAACCTCCAATTGCTCGGCCCATAATTGACTCGACCCATCGACAAGACTCTCGTGCGCGCGCAAAAGCAACTACAGAAAATTATAAACAACTGCTTTTGGTGTCATTCCATGTTTGTTACATACATTATCTGTTTATATTTGAATGACAAATATCACCCAAACAAAAAAGAAAAAAAAATGGTCTCTTCCCAATAGTAATCAACCAGCAGTAATTGCAATTCATAGGCTAAAAGCCTCCAAACTCGCAACTTATACAAGAACAAAACAAGAAAAAAAAAAAAAAAAAAAGAGGAAACAGAATAGGAACTCTAATTGGAGAAAAAACACAATCAGAGCCCAAAGCTTTCTAAATCTAATTGTCTAAATATCTTCTTCTTCCATCTTCAGAGAGTTCAGAGTATTAACAAAAAAAAAAGAAAGAAAGAAAATGTGTCTTGTAAAGAACAAACTAGATCAGTAAAACCTTAAAAAAAATAGTGAAACAAAATTTTCAAATCTGACTGGAAGCGGGGCCTTGGGCGGTTGCCGAGATACCCATCTCGGTTTTCTCCCTGATGGACTTCATCTTCTCCAGCCTCAATCCGGCCCGGAATCTAGCAATGAAGGTATCAGCTTTGGTGTTAACGTCTGGACTCGGACAGAATGGTGATCCACCCACCTCTGGGCTTGGACAGAATGCCGATCCGACCATATCTTCGCCGTTCATCATGGCTTGCATAAGTGTCGGTTCCTTCCTTGATGAGAGATCCATGAAATCCATGTCAGGCGAGCTGTCACGAGAACTGGTTCTACTCCGTATTCTGACGTAGTCACCACGAACTACAAATTTCAGGTCTGGCATTCGAAATGGAGGTGGGGGTGGGGGTGGTGGTATTGGAATTAATGGAGACTGCCCACCACTGTTCAAGTTATCCTCTCCATCGTAGAAGCTGCTCATCTTTGCTGGTAATGGAGGTCGGCCGGATACGGTCGGTTTTCTCTGCCGGGAAGAATCGTCCGGAATTTTTGGTGCAGGTGGCGCTGGTGGAGGCGCAATCTTGGTCGTCCGTTTCGATGAACGTGATGATGAGGCGGGTGGCGGCGGGGGTGGTGGAGGTGGTGGTGGTAGCGATGACACTGAGTGAATCCGTTTACTCTTGCTAACCTTTTTGTGAGAGAATAAGCTATGAAAGAGGGAGGCAGGAGGTGGTGGTGGTGGTGGTGGAGGCGGCGGCGGAGCTGATGGTTGCGTTCCTGAATGCAAAGATGGTGGAGAGTGAAGGGAACTATCGTAACCGTAACTATCCTTGTTCTTCTGTTTCTTCTTCTTCTTCCTTTGATGGTATAGCGAGGCCAATGTAGTTGCTATGTCTTTCGCTCCACTGCTTCTCCTCTTTTCGCTTTTGCTACTCTTCTGTTCCGATTGTTGCGATTCCCGTCGCGGTGGGGGTGGAGGAGGGGGAGGTGGCGGCGGCGGTGTTTGAGCCTGTGGCTGTGGTGAATGGATTTTCGTGACTTCTGGTACACTATCATCGAGCTCTTGTGCTTTTTGTTTACGTTCAATATTTCGAGAGGGTCGCTTGATTTTCTGTTTAATTGCCGGTGGCGGAGGTGGAGGAGGAGGTGGTGCAGGTGTCGATGACCTTGGAGGCGGAGAAGGAGGAGGTGGCCGCGATGAAGACAATTCATTAGGTGAAGGACGAGCCACAAAAGTATCCACTTGGATCGTCTTCAGTTCGGGATCTTCCCCCTGGAATTCACGTATATGTCGTCGTCGAACAGAGCCCGATTGCGACCGATAAGTATCGACCTCGATGTCGTCGTAGAATCGCAACCTGTCATCGCTCCCGGAAACCCACGAGGATTCTAGCCTAAGATCCGGGTAGGAGCTGCTGCTCCTCCTCAAGCGTCCGACCCTGGTGGAATCGGTGGAGGATGTCATGGGATTGTAGAAGCTGCGGTCGTGATACTCGAACCAGGGACGTGGGGTTGAGGATGGATGCGATTTGTCGACCACCTGGGAGGTGCTGCTGCTGGCAACATTGGTATATTCATCATCAGTGCTGCCGGAGGACTCGTAGTTCCTCCTGCTGAGAATCCCACAGATGATGGCGAAAAGAACGAGCAGGAGATTAAGTGAGTCCCAGCTCTTCTTGACCAAGTTAGGTCGGAAAACTTGAGAAACGAAGGAGAAAAGGGAAGGAATGACAAAGAGCAAGAGAAAGAGAGCGGCGAGAGGCAATACGACGATCAGCACGGCAGAGTTAAGAAAGAAAGGAGAAGAAGAACGACGGTGGCTACGGCTGATGGTGGTACTAGTTTGTAGCCAAAAGGGTGGTGTGTCTGCATCTCCTTCCATGATTTGGGGTTGGTTTTTTCTCTTTTTTTTCTTGCTTTTGGTTTTGCTTTTGATGAGAGAGAGAGAAGGGAGACAGACAGACAGAAGCAGAGACGCACAGAGAGACAGAACAGAGAAGAAAGGAGAGATATCTCGCTCGCTTAGAGAAAGAGAGAGGAGCCGAGGACAAATGAGCTTTTTTTCACGCCTTTGCTTTATTGTTTTTTCCGTGTAACGTGTGGTACAATTAATTGGCATTCTTTCTTGATTGCAGATAAAACATATTAAAAGAGTTGTCAAGCGAGTGTTGTAATGATTAGTTATCTTCTCAAGGTACACACACGTCTCTGAAGTTATACCCACAGGCCACAAACAGTTGTTGTTCCTAAACCAAAATCAATTGAATTAAAACCACTGCTGAATGTTTTAACCCTCTAGGTAAAGACGCAAAGTACAAAAAAAAAAAGCGAGGATTGATCGTTTGGTGTCTCCTGAACGATTGAACCGGAAATGGTAGAGGCGTAGAGCTGCCCTCTTTATTGGTCCACCAGAGAATTACTTTAAGGCTGGCTTAAGCTTAATTAAAACAGTTATTTGTAATCTAATTTAATGGTGAAATGTCCCATCAATGAAATGATCTGATTAATCAATTTCCTTTTGTTCTGGGTCCAACGAAATGATGAGATGAGAGGGTTAAAAGCACTTTTTTTTTTGGTTAAAAAGCACTTAAATTAAAAATTAGTGCCTTCTTTCAACCATCCCAATCACTATGCGATCTTCACTCGCCAAGAGTGCCTTTGAGCTTTAATTAAGGTAATTCGAAGTTAGAATTCTGAGTTCCACCTCAAGATTGGGCCTGAAATCCGCATGGCAGATTCCCTCTGATTAGCTGGCTGTTTTACTTTTCTTGACTGAACCATGGTTTGATTTAAACATGTGGAGTTAATGGACTGGACCTAGCCGAAAAGCTCACCGTCGTCGATCAGCAGAAGGCAAAAGCCAAGAGCCAAGGCAAGCTACGAGCCTACGACCTGCATGTGAGAGAGAACACAACACAAACACTTGGTAGACATTTTAAGGGGGTCGTGACTCGTGAGCTTACTTTTGTTAGTGGCAAGCATCACCATCAACCCAAGCCCAGAAAATGTTAATCACAGCACAGAAGGAAACTGTGAGGCGGATTTGTTATCTCTATAACGATTACACGAAACCTTGGCTAGTCCCCACGAAACTTCCATTGCTTTGGCTTGGGTACGTGGGACTCCAGAAGTCCAGACTCCTAACTATATGGGCCAGGGAAACAGCTTTGAAAACGACAACCAGAGAGAAAGGAACCCGTTTTTCTTTTTATTTTCTGTTTTCTTTATTATATTGGTTCTATATAATATTGTGATATAGTGGACACTGGCCCATTTTCTTGGCCCCTTAAGCCCATCCCCTCTAAAAGGCCAACCCAACCTCGCCAAAAGTTTCCTTTAAGTGCAATTTGATTCCACTTCAATCAATGTGGAGTTGTGGATAATTAAGAAGTTTATTCTCATCTTAAAGTATTTTATCACTAATTCTGCTACTTGAGAACGTACAATAATGTTTTAGTTAAGAATAATTAACAATTTTGGTTGCTTTCTGCCTTTGCTCTTATCAATGGGGAAAATGAAATCATTCTTTCTTTCCTTGTACATTTTGAAACCAGCTGAAACTTCCTCTCGGCTCTCGGTTATAGGAGTTCGTATTTTGCCCTCAGGAAATCCCTCCTCAGTCTTTTACAGCCATGTATTGAGAATATCTTCTTATTTGTATGTTTTCGTTATGGGGAGATATTCCCAATGCATGACTGTAAGGGCTGTGAGGACGGATTTTGTGAGGATGAAACCCATTCCTCTTATACATCTTTTGCTTAGTAAGGACTCTCTTAAATTAAGATATTCATCACATGGGCCAATAGAATGCCATTTTGTTACTTTTAGAAATTTTTGTGATTTAAAAGAAATATATATATCCCATCACTGCATATTTTGCTTATATAAAGACCAAGATGCCCTTGTATTGCTTATTGGGTATGGAATGTATTGTTAGCTTTCGAAGTTGGAAGAGTATTCTATTTGGGGGAAATCTAAAGAATCCATACAAACTACAAAGCAAGATATTAATGAAGATCAATTTTAATAAATAAAATAAAAAGAAACCCAGCATAAAGATGGAGATGGAGATTGGTTTCTATTAAAAAAAGAATGTTTTCCATAAGGATAAATTTATGTTTAGAGTTTGGATCTTATTATTATACAAGGGTATTTGTAGAAATGGATTTGTAATCAATGGGAAGAGGTTTTTTTATTGTCAATGCACATTTCTATTTTTTTTTTTAGTGGAGAGGGATGTTTGAGCCTGTTTTTGAAAAGCAAGGGAAGCTTTTAGCTGATTCCAAAAAGTATAGGAAAAGTTTTTGAGTATTTTTCCCTTATTAATTAATCAAAACTGAAGAAGTGGTTTACCAAATAAATAGTGGGTCTCTTTCTGTATTGGAGAGAGAGAGATGGTCCATCTCCATCCATCCATGTGCTCTAATCTATTTAAACAGTAATCTAAAAGACTAGACCTAGAGGGGAATAAAATTTGTGCATGGCCAAAGATTACCTCAATCAAGGTCCTCCATAGAAAAATGCACCCCCACCACCATAAAAAAAAAATAATAATAATAACAAATATAATTTGAGTTTGTTTTCTATCATTTCAGGAAGATAATATAAATGGGGTTCCGTTGATAATAGTTATTAGGGTTGAAAACATTGAAATAGTAGTATTTGGACGTAAACAATGGGCGCCTCATACGGTTCAATGCCAATTCTTAAAATAGGCAGCGAAGTGCACAAGGCCCCACCAATGTATTAAACCTGGGATCGGCTTCACTAAGTGCAAGTTCATGTTCAGACCGTTCAAATAGCTTTTTGTAATCTTACATTGAGAATATCACACCATCAAATAAACTATAGAAGTATGAAAATATTTTCAATACAAGGCTGTAAAGGCTGTTTGAACGGGGCTTTGCAAGTGATGTCAAGTTCATTAAATCTCCCCTTTAAATCCCATAATTCAGCTTTACACAAGTTCAGATCTGTTACCAGCAAGCACTCCCAAGAGTGTACCAACTAGCCATTATAGGAAGACATCGTAAACATCTCTCTATGAATGACCGGGGAGATATTCTCAATAAGCAACTGTAGTGGCTTGTTGGGATAGTGTTGAGAGTGTTATGTTGGTAGCAGATACCTACCTCTTTAAAGTTTAGATCACCTGCCATCAAAACATGTTCTAACCCTCTACCAACATGATCTTACACTGTACATCTCATACATAACAGGTCCCACTTTTATGATGGGTCTCAGTCCCATGGTGAGATGTGCAGTATTAGATCAAGTTGGTAGAGGGTTGGAACATGTTTTGTTAGCATAAAATCTCAACCCTTTCAATAAAACTCTTTCATAATCAAATCCACCTAAATCTTCACAAACCTATTATTGCCAAACCTCATTATAGAAATACTACCGATTCAGAAATTGAATATTAATTTGAGTATTTGTGAGTTGGGATCGAGTTCCATCTTTTGTCCATAAATTTTGCGAGATTTGCTTGAGAAGCAAAAAAAAAGGATAAATTGTTCTTTTTAAAGAAATGTTGTGATGTTTTAGTTTTCAAATTTACAACTAATTTATATTCTAGAATAAGTATGGGCAAATGCTTTGCTGAAACATAGAGCTTACCTCATATAGTCTCTCACTCACGCACACCCCTTGTGAACCTATCCATCCCCTATGGATTTGATAAATTTTATTTACCTGTGACATCACTTCTTTGTTATATATATGAGCTAGGCTTTATAGGCATTGTTTGGAACCATGGGCATTTATTGAATAAACTCTGCAACATAGGCGCCACGCCAACATTTCCCTCATTAATTAGATTTGTATGCATAGAAACTTGCAAAAGAAAACATTGATTTATGTGCTCGCCTACCATTAGGGGAAGTTTCATTTTAGTGCTTCCCCCAACAGATAGACATTTATTCATTATTTTGTTATTGTGGTGTCTAATGGCACTTAATGGTGCCTAAATGTTAATAAACAGATTCATTATTAATTTTTTCGGTTTTGCAAATAAATCAAATATAAACATTTAGTGAACAAGCGCCCACAATTCCAAACACATATATATTTATAGTAAGGCTCGTAAAGTGTGAGCCTAACATTTCATTGTCAACCGAGGGGTGGCTCTGTTGGTATTTCATATATTCTTTTGTTATAACCGTATTTAGTGATGCAGCTTTATTCCTCGCAAGGGACATGTAGTGATAGGATAGTTCGATATATAAGGCCTAACATTGAGTATACAAAATGGAGAGCCTGCATTGGGAAGGTTTGAACATGCACTTGAATATGTTATCCACAAGATTGGTACCCACACTAATTACAAGACACTACATCTATGCATTAGGAATATTTTTCTATGAATGATAATATCAATATGAATATATTTAACTGAAATGTGTATCTAAGAAGACCTGAGGATTAGGGATGTAAACGGATCGAATTCGAATCGGATCAAGCAATATTCGAATTTGATTAGAAAATTTGATATCCGAATTCGATTTAATATCCGACGACAGATATTGAAAATTAATATCCGAATTCGAATTTGATTAAATATGTGAATATCCGATTCGATTCGAACTCGATTAATTAATTATTTTAGATAATTAATAAATATATAAAATAAATATTTTATTGATATAAAGTATATAAATTATTTATATAACTTCATTATTATATATATTATATAAAATATTTTATATATTATATATAAGAATTAAATAATCGATTGAATTCAGATATTTATTGAATCGAATCAGGTCATATTCGAATTCAAATTCGAATCCAATTAACTATTCGGTAAGAATAGGATATCTGAATTCAACCGATTAGATATTCGAATTATCCGAATTCGATTCGATTATGTCGAATATTGAATTCGAAATCGGATTTTCGAATACCATTGACACCCCTACTAAGGATGAGGGAAATGGAATCTAACAATATTTTTTGCCTTTT